GGCTGCTGCTCTAACTTCTACCAGAAAATGGGAGTAAAAAATTATAGTGGAAAAAAGCGCCAAAGCGAACATAAAACATAAATTTACAATATAGTATCAAAGTTACAGAAGATTACAGAATAAAAAAATGTAACATGACATAGCATAAATTAAAAATATATTAATATTGAAAATTGAATATAAGACTGAATACAATAGTGGACAAGTAGTAAATCGGTAGCATACAATAGCAGTGTGGGAAGGCTGAGAGACGACACAGATGCGAGAGACAACGTCTGCGATCATTAGAGGCTCCGCAAAAAATAAGATACGTAATATTGAATATATATATATATATTCAATATTACGTATCTTATTTTTTGCGGAGCCTCTAATGATCGCAGACGTTGTCTCTCGCATCTGTGTCGTCTCTCAGCCTTCCCACACTGCTATTGTATGCTACCGATTTACTACTTGTCCACTATTGTATTCAGTCTTATATTCAATTTTCAATATTAATATATTTTTAATTTATGCTATGTCATGTTACATTTTTTTATTCTGTAATCTTCTGTAACTTTGATACTATATTGTAAATTTATGTTTTATGTTCGCTTTGGCGCTTTTTTCCACTATAATTCTTTACTCCCATTTTCTGGTAGAAGTTAGAGCAGCAGACTTTGCTGATGCCTCATCATTTTGTGCACCTGTACGCTTATTTTTTTCTTGTTTATCACGTTTGACTAACTCTGTACGCTTAATTTTTTCTCGTTTGTCACGTTTGACTAACTCTGTACGCTTAATTTTTTCTCGTTTGTCACGTTTGACTAACTCTGTACGCTTAATTTTTTCTCGTTTGTCACGTTTGACTAACTCTGTACGCTTAATTTTTTCTCGTTTGTCACGTTTGACTAACTCTGTACGCTTAATTTTTTCTCGTTTGTCACGTTTGACTAACTCTGTAGTCATCATGTTTTTTGTTATTTTGTAAATAATGCACAAATTAAATTAAAAGTTAAATTAAATACGTATGCACATTAAGTACGTACGTATGTACGTATATATTGTATGTACGAATGAATGTATGTATGAATTTTTTTAACATTACCGTTCAAAAGTTAAATAACTAATACTATTAATAATTGAGCAATCTATTACAAACGTCTAAACCTTTATCGGGTCACTTTCAATATAAATACAGACAAATTATGATGTTACAAACTATAAGATATGAGTCCGGCAATGATTGTGTGTCATTTTGTTTATTTAATCCCTGCGATTGCTTTTTTCACGTGAGCTTTCAAAATTTTTCTGATTGTAGAATTTGTTACAAAACGCGGTATATATAATACAAAATTGTTATAACTTGGTTGTCTGTATGTACATGAAGCCGTCAACTATGTTTTTTATGTTTGAACTGAAACATTGCATGTAGCATGTATACTTTGAATTGTGTCAATATATAAATGGTATGAGCGAAGAAATTAAATAATTTTTTTGTCAAAAGTTATATTATCAGTAAATTCAGTGTTGTAAATACTCTTCACAAAATTTATAATAAAGCTTCTATTATAGAATGTGAATAGTTCGCGCTTTAAATAATATTGAAAACCAACAACTGGTGAACATTGTTTTTCAAGGGGACAAGAATGAATTATAATACACACAATTATAATATAACAATTATAATATATTATTATAGTTCTAGCTATGACTGCGTTTCAAGATTGGAAAAATTTTATTGCACAGTTTAGTGAGAATTGTTTAGTGTACTTGTATAAATTCATACTGAAATATTTAATAAGATCAACTTTGGTCGATTATAGGATTTCATTTATCTAATTGATAGAATTCAAATTTATTTATCTAATTATAAAAATTTTTTTTGTTTATAGCATATACATATGCATACATATATTATTTCTTGACAAAGTTTATTTATAAGCGTGTCAAATCAGGAATAAAAAATCTTTTATAAATAAAATTAATATTTCCTGTAATTAAGGTAATTAAATTTTATAAGGTATGTAAAACAAAAAATAAAAAGAATAAAAAGAGGGACTAAATTAATAATATATAATTATATGAAATATATTTAGAAAGGATATAGTTAATGTCACAAATTTACCATTGTATCAATAGAAAGTTTATGATTGATCACAACAATGAGACAGATCCATATTACAACAATTTAATTAATCTTATTATAATAATAAATGATTGTCAAAAATTATTGAGAAATAATTTGATATAGCAGTGAACATAGACATGCAAACGTTCAAAGAAATAAAGCATTTATTTTTATCTAAGGAATCAGTTGACCAACAATATTGGGCTTTTAAAAGATATCATATCACTTTTAAAAAGATATCATAATGTTTTTAACATTAAAGATATGCGAGAAACGAATTCTTTGCGGTGATGTCCGTCTGTATGCAAATATATTATTCGTTATAACATTACTCTGAAAAACTAACACTACGTAGTGCGACAAATATGTTCCCGGACACAAACCACATCTCAGCAACCAGTGGCGACATCTGTGCGTTCAAACATGCATTTTAAAGGTTGAACATTTTGCTATCATCTGTCAAAGTTTCATTCATTTTGGTTGACATATAACGAAGATATGACAGTTCATGTTAAACAAGATTTTGTTCGAGGTAGAAATTTTAATATGGAACAAAGAGCAGTGATTAAATTTAACACAAAACTTGGTAAAAGTGCATCAGAAACATTCCGATCGATGCAACAAGTTTACGGCAGTCAATGTGTAGGTCATACAGCTGTTTTTGAGTGGCATAAGCGTTTTTTGGAAGGCAGAGAGACCCTTGAAGATGACAAAAAATCAGGACGGCCAATTTTGGTTCGAACACCCGAAATGATCGAAAAAGTATGTGATTTTGTTGCAAACGATCGCAATGCATCACTAAAAATGATGGAGGAGGCTTTAAATATCAGTAAAGAAATGATTCGAACCATATTACATGAAGATTTGGGTAAAACGAAGGTTTGTGCGAAGTTTGTTCCACACACATTAAGAAGCGATAAAAAATCAGCGAGAATCAATTATTCCAGAGACATCGTTGCAGCCGCATTTATTCATGTTTTGTTTGCTATCCCTCACACAATGGTGATTTTCGTCTGACCAATATCGTATGCTGTCTTTGGTAACTTATCCACCCAGCTGAAACGCAGCTTCATCGGAAGCGCATATCTAAAAAAGGAATAACTCATTTTCGTCACACCGCACCATCATTTCCTCAAAATTCCAATCTGCGATCGAAGTTGTTTTCCCAAAGTTCTTGCACATATTTTATCTTGTAAGGATGGAAATTTTTTCTTTTGATACTTCATGGACGGACGATTTGCCGATACCAACTTGTTGTGCAATCTTTCTAACTGCAGAATACACATCCTCAACGACACTTACACAGACCGCTAAAAACAGTTGTCTTTGTTCGTGGCTGATTTTGGTCAATCTTTGACAGTCAGTATCCTGAACCCGAAAACAGTGTTACAAACAGTTGATTTAGAAATGGATTGACGATCTGGATGGGTACCATGAAATTGGTGGGCGACTTGTTCGTATGATCTTTTTTTATCACCACATCCTCGTAGAATAAGGATTTCGATTCTTTCTTTTTCTGTCAAAAACTTTGTATGCACAATTACAACGGGGGAGCGAATACAGAATTTTAAAAACTGGAAGAAATGTTAAGCAAATAGTGAAAAACATAAAAATTATTACAAAATTAGAAGAAATGTAAATATAAAGTATGTATTAAATGTAAAAAAAATTATTGTTATAAGATAAACGCAGTATGATAACATTCTGCTCGATCTTCCGCTTATACATATGTATGTACATAATGTTCGTTACATACACTTCAATAGGTAAAATTCAATAGGTAACTTTTTCTGAAGAAGAGAAATCTGCAATAAAAATTGGGGATTCCCATTAAAAATTTTTAAGTTACCCCCTCTATCACCCCCAGCGGGTGGGGGTGGGGGGTTGTGTTAGGTGTCACAAGATAGCTCTTTTGGAATCATTGAATACGTGTATTTTTACTTTTTTGATTCGATGAGTATTTCTCAAGATATTAGACCGTTTCCATACTTTTCGGACACCCTGTAGAATTCGAGTGTAAGGAAAATATTCCACTGAACATCACAGCTTATTGTCTTATTATTCACGACAGGATGATAGAGTACAATCCATTGACTAATGTTATTTGCAAAATCGTATAATATTTTTTTCAAGTTCTCTCCTTCTTTATCAAATGTCACACACTATCGTATTATAATGTAAAAAAACACATGAAAAAAGTACGAAACGCGATTCATTGCTATTGACACAAAACGTTTTTGTCGTGTCGTATATATGAAAAAAATCACAAAACGTGATTCATTACTCTTGACAAAGCGTTCGAGTACACATCGTTTCTGCTGCGTGTCGTATACTTGTGCTACATCGCGATGTCTCCCGCGTTCGTCATCGTCATCGTCGTCGTCTTCGTTACGCTTACTACAACGACAACGTCAACAACAGCGACGAATCGTCAAGGCGTAGACACTGAAACAATTCTGTATCTACAAAAGTACGGCTACTTGCGTAACAGTGGAAACAATACGCAATTATCATTTAAAGAGGGAGAAATTAAACAGGCGATTTCGTTATTTCAAGAATATTATCAAATACCGGGTGATGGTACATTGAATAACTATACGTTGTATCAAATGCGTAAACCACGATGTGGTCTCCCGGACAGTTTGCACCACGAGCACAATACAGATAGGAAGAAATGGGCGAAAATACATCTCACGTGGAATTTCCATTTGGCGGATGTGCACACCTTGAAAACTACCGCATTCGCGTTCTCGCTATGGGCAGCGAATTCGTCTTTATCGGTCCAACGTAAAACATTAAATCCCGACATCTTAATATCTTATCGTAGTGGCACACACACGTACGCTGATCATAAACGTAACGAAGAAATTTGCTCCTCCTCATTCGATGGATCTGGTGGAGTATTCGCTCATGCGTTCTATCCTTCAAATGTTGTCAATTACACCGCTGAAATACACGTAGATAGTACAGAACAGTAGCATATATATCTAACCGAAAAACTACTAATAACAAGGACTATCTATTTAACACGTTAACACATGAAATTGGACACGCATTAGGATTAATGCATAGTTCGCGTGAAGACTCCATAATGTTCGCATTTGTTACTGCTAATAATAATAATAAAATCGTTAAACTCAACATAGGGGACATTTTAGCCATTCAACAACTCTATGGAATTAAAACTCCAAAACTAACAACAACTACACCACCGACGTCGATAACTACCGAAATTACAACAAATAAACCCGAGTACGTAGATCTCTGTACTTTACAATATGTGGATATGGTATTGGTATTACATCATCGAATATTCGTCACGTACCAACGCTACGTATGGTCGATAAATATAGATGATACAAAATATGACGGACCACACATACTAAACAGTTACATGGATTTCCTTCCGGAGAATTTCTCATTATCAGCTGCGTAGAAAGCTGCAAAGACCTTCGGGTGAACTAGTACCGTTTGTAAATAATATAGTTTATATGATCGAGTATCCCAGTTTCAAATTGAAAAAAGGTTGGCCAAAACGTCTCTCGAGTCTAGGATTTCCCCCGAACGCTTTGATCGATACCGTAGTAAATACTAACAGAGGACAAACCTATACGATCTTCAATAGTAACGATGTAGCGCAAATAGATGAATGTAGTATGAATGTTCGCTCGTATCAACCGTTACAAGCGGTATTCCCAGGAATATCGTCAACTCCGACCTTGGCCTTCCGATATATAAATGGTAATCTGCCAAAAAACAACAATTTTATACATTTAACGAGTTCACGAGAACCGTAACAGAGGCTGGTGAATTTAATCTAAACGTACTCAACGTCGAATGTTCGAGAGACGGATTATTACAACAAATGCAGGATATCTTAGGTCGACTAATTCGATCGAGTAATACACATTGACAAAACACACCGAGAAATAAGACGAAGAAGGAGGAGCAGGAAGAGGAGGACAGGATGGAAGGACATATATAACACATACTACAATACTTTTACACAATCAGTACGAAAGGAACGGTCATTCCGGCAACATCGTTTGTACGCACTTTCCAAGCTTTTTTTTCTCGATCGTGAGAATGCTCAACAACGCGGATATCGAAAATTATCTTATGGAACGGGACAATCGTGATGAATGAAGCACGAAGAAGAAAAAAACAGTCGACGATTCAACTGATGCAAATCCAGATAAAGGCAACATATCAAATAATATATCATAGGTATTTTTTCTTTTGCGTCTCTTTTTCCATCTACTAATTTCTTTTTTCCTTAATTACAGACATGTAATCGCACATCATCCTACCGTACGCATTCTCGAGAGAAGATATCCGTTGACTGTAACCGGTTACAAATACTACATGGGCTGAAAAGTCCCAGGATTTTTCAATAGGTTGTGCCACTAGAAAATGAACATGATTCATTTTGAGAGATTCATCTGTCACTAGTTTATGAAGTTTCATGACATTTCGTTCATTCGTTTACAAGCTACAGTCGTTTAAGTGGCGTTACTTTCGCCTTCGTAAAAAAATGGAAAAATAGGAATATCGCATCTTGATCAAACATTGTTTTTTGATAGGAAAAACTTCTGAACAATCATTGAAATGGTTGCAGAAATGTTATTCCACATCTGTTCCTTCGAGAATAACAGTTTATCGGTGGTTTAGTGAATTTAAAATGGGTCGTACAAGCACCAAAGACACATCTCGCTCTGGAAGGCCAAAAGAGGCTACGAATGCGGAAATCGTAAGGCAAGTGCATCGAATCGTTTTGAGTGATCATAAAATGAAGTTACGCGAGTTAACTGAGGCCGTGGGCATCTCAAAAGAACGGGATACATTTTGCATGATGTTTTGAAGATGAAAAAGCTATTGGCACGATGGGTGCCGCGTTTGCTGACCATCGACCAAAAATAGCAGCGCGTTGATGATTCAACGGCCGGTTTGACGTTGTTGCAGCGTAATCGAGCGGACTTTTTTCGATGTTTTGTGACGATGGATGAAACGTGGGTCCATTACCATACGCCTGAATTCAATAGGCAGTCTGCAGAGTGGCTGAAAAGCCAACCAAAGACCAACGCTCGGGAAGGTTATGGTCTCCGTTTTTTGGGATACGCATGGCATAATCTTCATCGATTAGCAGAAGGGAAGAACAGTTACGGGAGAGTATTATGCAGCGTTATTGGACAAACTGAACGACGAAATAAAGAAAAAACGACCCCATATGGCCCCATAAGAAAAAAATTCTGTACCATCACGATAACGCACCGTCACACACGTCCTTGAAAGCGATGGTCAAATTGGACCAATTACGATTCGAATTGGTTGCTCACCCACCATATTCTCCAGACTTGGCCTCCAGTGACTATTATCTGTTCCCAAAGCTCAAGCGGTGGCTCCAGGGAAAGAAATTCACATCGAATGAGGAAGTCATCGCGGAAACCGAGCCGTATTTCGAAGGCTTGGACGTTTCGTACTACAGAAAGGGCATCGAAATGTTGGAAAATCGCTATACCAAGTGTATCGCCCTCGAAAGCAACTATATTGAGAAATAAATATAACTTTGCCCAAAAAAACGCTTGTTTTCATTAAAAATCCCGGGACTTTTCAGCCCATGTAGTATGTGTCTGTGAGGTGGAGTTTACGCCGAGAACATAAAAAAATTGTGTTATCTTTACAATAAAAGAGATTCCGCTTTCATCGAACATCTGGAGAGAGCTTCTCGAACAAAAACACGTTATCTTATCCCTTTTGCAATACGACGAAAACAATAAAGGAATACGTGCGTCGTCTCCGATGTACGTTGGAAATCCAACGTTACGCTTCGGACGAATAAATAATCTACCAATACTGCGTCTGGAAACAAGTACAGCTCGTCTATCCATATCGAAAAGTATTGTACTTAATATATTTAATCTCGAATACTGTGTAAATCGTCATTTCTTCTCTAACCTATAACGTCGACAAAAAATTTTCACGACTTCTTGCTATCGCGTCCACTGTCACGAAATCTGCGAACGTGCTAAAAACGATGTATGATAACGAATCCTTCGACCGCAACGACATACTTGATTGCGAGTTGATCGCTTTGATTTTCGGAGAACATTAATTGTAACACTAACGATAAACCTACACTTTTAAAATATACACAAGTATTTTATATATCCCTACCTATACATATATATATATATATATACATATATATATCTTTACATAAAGATAGGCATATGTATATCTTTACATAAAGGAAACTCGCGCTGACGCAAACTTAATGAGAAAAAAGTAGCAAAAGGAAAACAGAAATGGGTGTGGAATCATACGATATATAATTACTTGCGAACGTTAGTAGTGCGAGCAAACGTGGGCGTTATCTCCTAATCGCGAGCGGGCGTTGGTGCGAGCGAGAGCGACAGCGCACGCGGGAAGAAAAACGCGAACTCCCTCAGTCGTTCGTCTGCTCTCGAGCTCGCTGAATCGTCGTCGTCGCGTCACGTCGTGACGTCACGAGCTCACACACACATGCGCCCGTGGGGACGGATGCCGGGGAGGAAAACTACAAGAGGTGGTGGGAGGACAAAGCAGCTCATTGGTTGCCCCCCCGCACCACAATACCCCTCTCGCCCAGTTTTCCCCCCAGCCTCACCCCGCGGCTTGCCCCATGGTCGAGTATATACATTGATATTCTATTGCATTCAATATATGAATTCTTATCATAAATCTTATCATAAATCTTACGCAAAATATTTATAATATCATATTTATTTTTTATACTGTTTTGACGTAAATAAGTCACGAAATATTCAAACTTTTCACTCACACCATTTATGTATTGGCATAATTCATAAAATACGTGTTCTACACATTGATCAAGTTCGAGCATGAAGAGCACGGTCGATGGTTTCATTATATAAACACTTATCACATAATAATAATTTACATTGTCCACATCGCTAATTAGACAAGTTCAATTTGAAGCTCCTGAATCATTAATAATGATGGAGTAGTCGACTGCACCAATCGCTCAATATTTGTCCGTTTTTTTTAGCGTCCGAATAGTGTTTACATGAGGCAGGACGATGCGGTTGCCTCGAGTGTCGATTTCTTACATGGAAATGACCTCAATGGTGACCTCAAATAAGCAATATATAGAGAAAAATTTTTCACAAACAAATATAATTGAAATACTTACTTGCTCGACTCATGTTGAACGTATGAAACTATAACACTGGAAGATCATTGCAAAACGAATCTGAGCAACTGATGCAGTATCGACTTAAAAATCTCTGATACTATACAATCGCTATCTTTCTCAATATAATCCTTATGTTCATCACACACATCATCGAGCAAGAAGTATTAGTGCTTAGTAGCACATTACGGAAAAAAGGGCGTTGTGCCCTTTGTCTAGGATGCAAGAGTTAGTTGCAATGTCACGCGAGATTTACGATTTTTATAATGTTCTATCGTTGTTGATCTAAAATACATCGTTAGAGTAGTTTCGAAAAGAAGAAAAAGTGATTTAAGGTTTTCCTTAAAGAGTCAAGATTACTCCGAGACGGATGACGAATTCTGTTATTTTCGCGGAAAATACGGCTAGGTAAATGGTTATCGTGCACAAATAGATTTTCGTGCAGGGCTACCATTGTCTGATTTTAAGAATCTCTTTCTTTTTAATAAATTTAGTAATTTGATGACCAAGATTAACTCGGACATCATCACAGCTTTTTGTATTTCATACGTTAATAGTTCATATTATGTGCTATTATTATGTAATTTGTAATTAATAGTTTAAGTAAATTTCTTTGTACTGAAGAGGATCTTGACCGTAGGTCGAAACATATACGTTTTACTATTCACTTTAAATAAATGATATAAAATACACACTAATAACCAGTATTGGCATTTTATTTATTATTTTTTAGATTTTTCTTTAGAGCCTATTGATCATCTTGTTTTTGGTATTTAACAAGTCAAT